CACACACTTGTTTCCCAGCCATTTGGGAGGCCCAGTTGGGAGGACCACAAGTTCAAGTCAGTCTGGGCAACTAGCAAGACTCTTGTCTCAAAAGAGAGAGAGAGAGAGAGACAGAGAGAGACAGAGAGAGAGAGASAGAGAAAGAAAGAAAGAGGGAGGGAGGGAAGGAGGAGAAAAAGGCTGGGGGGGCTGGGGTTGTGGGTCAGTGGCAGAGCACTTGCCTAGCACGTGTAAGGCACTGGGTTCAATTCTCAGCACCACCTATATAAATGAAAAGCCCATCAACAACTAATAAAAATATTTTTTTTAAAAAAGGGCTGGAGATACAGCTTAGTGGTAGAGCGCCCCTGGATTCAATCTCCAGTACCACAAAAACACTAAATAAACCAACAAACAACTAGAATGATGAAAAGAAGCCCATGATGCAGGGAAACTGATGGGAAAGCAGACAATTCCCTGGATACAGGGATAGAGAGTCAGGCACTCTCAGGGGAAAAAAAGCGTGGGTACTGTGCATGGGAGATCACTAAGCCAGGACCCTCAGCAGAGCCTAGGATGGTCATTTCCCATCTCTGAAGGAAACTGTCCCTAAGTTAGGACTTCAGACCGTTACAGATATGGGCTGACATCATAAATTACCAGGGGCTGGGAGTATATATAGCTCAGGGGTAGAGCTTGTGCCTACCATGTACAGGACCTGCACCCCTCCAAAAAAAAAAAAAATCCACCAAACTTTCTTTCTTTTTTTTTTTTTTAAATATTTATTTTTTAGTTATTGGCGGACACAACATCTTTGTTGGTATGTGGTGCTGAGGATCGAACCCGGGCCACACACATGCCAGGCGAGCGCGCCACCGCTTGAGCCACATCCCCAGCCCCCACCAAACTTTCAAAAAAATACTAGGCTATTACTGAGCTCAGCAGAAACAATAAATAATAGATTTGGACACTCTTTCCCCCCCCCCCAAACACTAAGCACTAGGAAATTGGCATTACTAAGTATAGCATATATGTATGAATGTTTAAGGAATCTAAGCTGGAATCCAGAAACCACAAACAAAGAAGCCATCAAAATTATTTAGGCTGGGGTTATTGCTCAGTGATAGAGTGCTTGCCTAGCAGGCAAAACTCCCTGAGTTCAATCCCCAGCACCACCAAAAACAAAATAAAAACTGATTTTT